TCAGAGGCGGATTAGTCCTTCACGGAAATTCTCAAATCATTTTATCGGATTCCTGGAACAAGAGGAAAATGCCAATCGATAGATCACCAGTTAGACCCTGTTCGGATACACAGATTGATATGGATTTGGCGAGCGGATCAAATCAGGTTGGATCAGAAAATATTAATATTTTACCTTCTCAAACTGGACATCAGGTGAGTGATCCTATGTTACAAATTCACTCAAATGAGTTTCGTTTATTAAAACTACCGACTTTCTGGCATAAACAACCTAAACTCTGGTTTGCTTCTATTGAAAGTGAGTTTACGGTTTATCGAATTCGATCAGATGATATTAAATATAGTTCTGTCATTCGTCATCTTGATGAACAAGCCTTAGTAAACATATCTGAAGTCATTGAAAATCCACCTGAAACAGATAAATATAATTATTTAAAGAAAATATTAATAAATCGCTTTACGGATTCAGAGGAAAAACGTTTGAGACAAATATTAGCTGGAATTGAACTTAATGATAAAAAGCCTTCGGAATTACTTCGAGAAATTCGTCATTTGTCTGGAGGATCTTTAGCAGATAGTGTTTTGCAAATGATTTGGCTTCAACGCTTACCACATAGAATTCAAACGACTTTAGCCGTAGTAGAGGATGTTCCTCTTGTTAAACTTGCGGAATTAGCCGATAAAATTGCTGATCGGGACGGCGGTTTGCAAGTCGCGGAAGTTTCCAATAATACAAGTAATAAATCTTCGGATTTCGCGGATTTGCTACGAAGAATCGAAGCTCTTGAAGTTTCTCGTCGTCGAGATCGTTCCAAAAGCCGGTCTAGAGAGAATAGAAGATTTAGATCGTTATCGCGTAACAAAGACAAATCAAATAAAGATATTAAAGATACATCAATTTGTTTTTACCATAAGAAGTTTGGTGATAAGGCTAAACGATGTACTTTACCTTGTTCTATGTCCAAAACATTCTTGGCTTCACAGGAAAACTAAAAACGCCGCTTAAGACTGAGGCTGCTTACGACGGTGTTTCTAACAATCGCCTCATTATTTTCGACAGACATTCAAATTTGAATTTTCTTGTCGATACGGGCGCTGATATATCGTTGTTACCTAAAAAGGTTTTATTGAAGCCGTGGCATACTAATTTAAAACTTTTTGCCGCAAATGGTACTCAAATTAATACTTACGGTTCTAAAACTTTAATTTTGAACCTCGGTTTAAGGAGAGAATTCAAATGGAAATTTTGTGTCGCGGATATTCAACGTCCTATTTTAGGCGCCGATTTCCTTTGTCATTTTAATCTCCTAATTGACATTAAAAACAAGAAATTGATTGATAATGTTACCGGTCTTATGAATACTGGAAAAATTCAAGAAGTTGCACATTTGTCAATTTTTACCACATCTCCTGATTCTGTGTACCACAAATTTTTAACCGAATTTCCAGGACTCACCCGTTTTTCTCCAATTTCCTCGGTAAAAACACATGGTGTTGAACATCATATCGTTACGGAAGGTTCTCCTAAATTTTCGACTCCCAGAAGACTTACTCCTGAGAAACTTAAATGTGCCAAGGAAGAATTCAAGTCTATGATGGAGCAAGGAATTTGCAGGCCTTCAAGCAGCTCCTGGGCAGCCCCTCTACATATGGTACCTAAAAAGGAACAAAATTCTTGGAGACTGTGTGGTGATTATCGTGCACTCAATTCAGTGACTATCCCGGATCGTTATCCCTTACCTCATATTCAAGATTTTTCTTCTTCACTTTTTGGTAAGAATATCTTTTCTAAAATCGACTTAGTTAAAGCGTACTATCAAGTACCCGTCGCTAAAGAAGATATTCACAAAACAGCTGTCACTACTCCATTTGGGCTTTTTGAATTTGTCGTAATGCCTTTCGGTTTACGAAACGCAGCCCAAACTTTTCAACGGCTCATGAACTCTTTACTTAATGATTTGAGTTTTGCCTTTTGTTATCTTGATGACATTCTTATTGCTTCTAAAGATGAGAAAGAACATATTGCTCACTTACGCATTATTTTTGATCGTCTTCAACAAGCTGGAATGACAATCAATGTCGCTAAATGTCTTTTCGGTCAAAGCGAGATTTCTTTTCTTGGTTACTTAGTTTCTAACCAAGGAGTTAAACCTACATCCGAAAAAGTGAAATCAATTATTGATTATCCTAAACCTAAGACACTTCATGAATTACGCAGATTCTTAGGAATTATCAATTATTATCGTCGCTGTCTCAAGGATGCTGCAAATCATCAAGCTCTGTTAACAGAATATTTAAAGGACAGTCGCAAGAGGGATAGAAGAATTATTTCTTGGACTAAAGAAGCGGAATTAGCTTTCGAGTCATGTAAAGAAGAACTTTTACAAGTTACTACCCTTTCTCATCCTGCTCCTCATGCTCCTCTTATTTTAACTTGTGATGCTTCTGACTTTGCTGTTGGTGCATCACTTGAACAGTCTATTGACGACGATATCAAACCAATAGCATTTTTCTCAAAGAAACTAGACAAAGCTCAAAGAAATTATAGCACTTATGATAGAGAACTTCTTAGCATTTATTTGGCTATTAAACATTTCAGGCATTTTGTTGAAGGAAGACAATTGATTATCAGAACTGATCATAAACCTTTGATTTTTGCTTTCCGTCAGAAATTGGATAAAGCGTCACCAAGACAGATCAGACAATTGGACTTTATTGCTCAATTCTCTACTACAATATTACCTATATTTCTGGAAAAATGAATTCAGTTGCTGATGCTCTGTCAAGAATTGAATCTATTTCAATGCCTATTATAGTTTCTTTAGAAGAACTTGCTAATTATCAGAAAGAAGATGAAGAACTTCAAGTTTTACTTTCTTCAAATTCTTCACTTCTGTTGAAGAAACTTATTCTTTCAGGATCAACCATACCTATTTATTGTGATTGCTCTTCGGAATTAATTCGTCCATATGTTCCTAAACTCTTACGCAAGAGAATTTTTGATGTTGTTCATGGACTCGCTCACCCCAGCGGCAGATTGACATCTAAACAATTACTACTGAAATTCATTTGGCCTTCTTTGAAGAAAGATGTGAAGGAATGGACTCGAACTTGTCTTCCATGTCAACGTGCGAAGATTTCAAGACACACCAAGAATTCTCCAATTAAGATTGCAATTCCTGATCAACGCTTTCAGCATGTGCATTTAGACATTGTTGGACCACTTCCTATTTGTCAAAATTACCGTTATTGTCTTACTATGATTGATCGTTTTTCCAGATGGCCTGAAGCTGTTCCTATTTCTGAGATTTCTGCTGAAACTATTTCTACAACATTTTATTCACATTGGGTAGCACGTTTTGGTTCTCCTATCAGCATTACAACAGATCAAGGTCCTCAGTTTGAAGCAGCTTTATTCAAAGCTTTAACAAACCTAATTGGATGCCAAAGGATTAGAACTTCTGCTTATCATCCTGCTTCAAATGGAATTCTGGAAAGATGGCATAGGACTTTGAAAGCAGCGATTATGTGCCACGAAACAACCAACTGGGTAGAATCTTTACCTTCAGTTCTTTTGGGATTACGTTCGTGTTTCAAAGAAGATTTAAAAGCTTCACCTGCAGAACTTCTTTATGGATCCACTCTTCGTATTCCTGGAGAATTTTTCATTGAAGAAGATTTTCCTGCAGATCCTGAAATCTTTCTTGAAAAACACAGGATTCATATGAGGAATATCAGATCATCTCCTACAAGTCATCATTGCAAAAGATCACCTTTTGTTCACAAGAATCTTTTTGATTGTACTCATGTTTGGATTCGAGAAGATACTGTTAGGAAGTCACTACAACCTCCTTATTCTGGCCCTTTTCCTATTGAGAAACGTATCTCTGATCATTTATTTGCAGTTAATGTTTCAGGAAGAGTTGTCAATATTTCGACAGAACGTCTCAAGCCAGCCTTCATTCCTAGAACTTCAGATTCTACTGAACTTTCTACCAGATCTTCAGCTCCTGTTCCTGCTATTTCAACTCCTGTTCCTGCTATTTCAACTCCTGTTCCTGCTACTTCAGCTCCTGTTCCTGCTACTTCAGCTCCTGTTTCTGCTACTTCAAATCCTTCTTCTTCTTCTACTGTTGGAAAAGCTTTACGCACCTACCCACCAAAGAAGAAGAAAGTCCATTTCGCAACGAATATCGTCACTTGGGGGGGAGTACTGTAGCATTCATCATCCACACCTTTCATTTACACTCTACACTTTTATTACACCTTACACTTTTCACTGCACTTTTACACTTTTTACATCTTTATACATTTGTAATAACTTCAATTCATTAATATACATAATGTTTTTAAGAAAAATCATATTTCCATAACAACACATTCATTCATTTATTTGTTACATATTAATTCTTTTTGTTCTTTCGCTTTATACTTTCAATGAATAAACATTACTTTTTCAAAGATCTGGTGAATTTATTTATAAGTCGCTACAACTTCCCCCCCGTTCTGTGATTGGCATGGGGAGGTTTTTTGTCCCTCACAGCGCGCGTGCACCGGGGCTTCGCATTTGTCTGGCTCTGTGCCCTCCTCCCCGCAGCGGTAGCATCTACCGCTGCGGTCCGCCTTGTTTGGCACCTGGCCCTTACGTGGCCTCCCTCCAGGCATTTATAGCACTGGAGGGGGCGATTGCTTAATAACTCTGTAGCATTCATCATCCACACCTTTCATTTACACTCTACACTTTTATTACACCTTACACTTTTCACTGCACTTTTACACTTTTTACATCTTTATACATTTGTAATACTTCAATTCATTAATATACATAATGTTTTTAAGAAAAATCAATATTTCCATAACAACACATTCATTCATTTATTTGTTACATATTAATTCTTTTTGTTCTTTCGCTTTATACTTTCAATGAATAACATTACTTTTTCAAAGATCTGGTGAATTTATTTATAAGTCGCTACAACTCCACTCTGACCATTGCCCACCCTATCTGAATATGGGACTTTTGGGTAATGGTGTTTGCTGTTCTAAGGGGGCAACGGCCCACACCATCTTTATGCCGTTGGGCGCTCTTTTAACTTCCCCCACGTTGATCTCTTCCTCCTCGCAGTTTCCACTTTTGGAGATTGCTTCCCGGATCTCTGAGAGGGTGACGGCTTCATCGAGCCCTCTTAGCCTGAGTTCTGCCGTTTTTGTTGGCCGCTGTACCCTCACCCCCTCTTTCCCGGAGAGGGCACGTTTGAGCCCGAGGGCTAATTTGTCCGCGAGCTCGTTACCACCCTCTCCGGGAATCTCATACACTAGAGCACCAGTCACCGCTCTCCTGATTTTAACTCCTCCTTTGATGCCGAGGCTCTCAAGGCTCTCCATTTTCTTATGAGCCTCAGCCATCGTCGCCTCATATTCGCCAGGGGGGCATGTTATGGTGACTGCGGCCGTCCTGGGTTCTTTCCTCTTCTTCTGGGTGTCCCGTCCGTTGCCCCTTTGTTTGGGGTGTAGTAGGTGGGGCTTTTCGCTGCTGCTGCTGCAATTGCTGCTGCGTCGTCTCCTTTTTTCTTTCTTCCTTTCCCTCTTCGCCGTTTTCCTCGACACAACCGTGGTCCACGCTGTTTGCGGTTGTGGTTGTGCCGATCTTGGAGCGGTCTTTTGAGGATTGGGATTGGGATTAGGGTTTTTTT